GTTATCTGTCTATCTATCCATAAAACAGGAGTGTTTAATTACCAAGGGGATTTTTACACAATTTCAAATTTCTTGTACTACAACTAACTTGATCTTCATTTGAATGATGGTATTATTTATTAATTCTCAATGCTATTCCCAGTTTCTTTATCTCCTTACTTTTTTTGAAACGGATTATTTCAATCCACCACAATTATGGTTACGATTGTTGTATCAGTTAGCAGTGATTTGTGTTTTCTGATTATGTAACCCTTATTAGAAAATCTGTCACCAAACTGAATTAGTTCGTCAAATATTTTTGAATTTTTTTTAGTAGTAGTCATAAAATGTTACTTTTATTTTTATATGTCTGACCGTGTTCAATTTAGAACCAGAGATTGCTGTTAATTTACATGCAAATATTTCAACTGATGCAGTTGAGTGTTATCACCAAGTCAGTTTGGTTTACAGTTCTATATTGGTAAGATTTTCAGCTGTGTTCTTATTTAAGACAGAAAACCTAGATACAATTGTTTAGTAAATCAAAGAGAGAGAGAAATCCGAAAACACAATCAATGTAATCATATCGTATTTAAATTCATTTATATTAACAGGACTGAAAATCACTTTGAAACAGTTAGTCCTTTTAAGGAAGTTGTATAATGTATAAGGGTTCTTTTTTATGTGATGCCGTCGTTGACTGGACCGAATTGATTGGTCTCTATTAGCATATGGGCTCCTGTGCGGATGCCTCAGTATTGCCAGCAATCTAGTTATGCTAATGAAGGGTCGTGGCTAGCAATGGAATCGAGGATGCGCATTTCATCCTATTTGGACTCGTCAGTCAGATAGCCATCCTGGCTCAATGGTGTAGTGGAAAATGCGCTGGCGGTCGCTCCCGAGTCTGAATCCCGGTGGGAACAACATCAATCACTTGGAAGCAGGTAAATGCAACTGACAGGTGAGTCCCAAATAGGACGAAATGAGCATCCTGGATTCCACTGCTAGTCACGATCCATCATTAACATAGTTGTATAATGTAATAAGAAGACGGATGTCATCTGGAAAGTGTGGGGTATATTTGCGCAGTATGCATATCGAACAATCTTATCACACATTTACTTCTTAAGGCATTTTATATATGAGGGATGAAAATTGCATGGGGACACTTAATCATTAACGGCATTGTATGGAGGTCACGCTATATAATGAACTGACAGATGTACGCAATATAGACCACTGGGTCCCATCTAAGTGGCACAATAGTAATGTGCTGCTTCGCGGAACCTGAAGGTCCTGGGCACCCACTATTGAGAAGCCCCATAAAGGTGACACGAAACAGTTTTCCAGTGCTTCTAGGTATCCAATGTCCTTCCAACTAATGTCGGTCCATGGTGAACACCAACCATCGCAGAAACCTCAAAGTTGAATTAGGAAAATTGAACTAAGATAATACAAGATCTCAAAAATGTAGCAATAATAGAAAGGAATAATAAATCTTTACACTAGCATCCCACCCTATGGTCTTCAAATAATACAAAGATTACTTGAGTGGGTTTTATGACAACGACTAATGGTTTTGGTATACTGAAAATGGGAGTGAACTTTTGTATAGCTAAGGCTTCAAAGAACCTCAGTATACGCCAGTGACAGCTTATACACAATGCTCTAAAGCCTGTTTTCAAGTCAGTCCTCTCACCTGCTTCTATCATGTGTCGACCTACAGAAGATGACATCTGTCTCCCAACTGTATTCATCGAAACCATTTGAATGTAACATTGTACAGTCATTTAGTGATATATTCCACCACACCACAACTTCATAGCTCAATCACTCCTCCCAATCCATGTGTCACCACACACACATATATGAGTTGGCTTACACAGCAAGATGTGATATAATCAACCACGTAGTGATAAAGTTTGTCTTGAAGAACACGTTTCGTCTCCTCTACAGTGCTCAATCTGACTGCATAGTATGTCTCTCTAACAGCTCAGTTTATCCATCATCTCAGCATCTTCCTCTTCGATTCCTTCCCATAATTGTAGCCTCATGTAAACTAAGTGGTTCTTGACGTTGACACGTTTTCATAACGATTGATCAACTTCAGTGGATATGCATTACTCACTTGTGTCTCTGTGAAGCATTCGATTTCTTCCTCCAATGCTCCTGCTATGCAGATATGTTGAATCCTTTCGAATAAGTATTCTACTAAACCTCATTGGCACCGTAGTCGACAGAAACTCTGAAGGGTTTAGGTAATGTCCAGTCAACGTGGGCCTGTTATACACTGATCCTTTCATCAATCCATCTTCTCTTCCAGTTAACAACATGTGAAGCAAAGGAATCTTATCGTTGTTTTCTACTTCACACGATCAACTGATGTGACACTGTATGGTGTTAAGTCGATGTAGAAGTCTTTTCACATCCTCATCATTGTTGCAACATGTCAGTAAGATATCATCAATATATCTCCTCTATAGAGGGAATTTGTTGATAGAATAATCGGTCAAAAGTTTTACATGTGACATATAGACTGTAGGTAATGACGATCATAGGGGATTATCCAGGGTGACACCCCACCAACTTGTGGAAATGAATTACGTTTGAGAGTGAAGTGAACGTCAACAGAGCATAATCGTAATAACTGTTTGAGGGATAAGAATGTCAACAGTATTGGTTGAATAGACAATGGTGAGTGAAGAGTTTACATCAGGAGAATACATTGTCTAATGTTCAGAAGTATATTTTAATGCAAACTTGTGTAATTGATTTCCAAATGTACTTATCATTTGGTTTAGCCATTTTGTAAAGTAGTGTGTTGGGGAACAATACATCGATGGTATCGGACGCAATGGGATATTCACTTTATGCATGTTGAATAAAGCATAGAAATTTAGGTGCTCACATTCTACGGGTTTTAATGAATGAAATTTCTCTTTGTCAATAGCATTCATGTTAAGAAGTTTCAATAAACTTGTAGTTACTTTTCTTTCCAATTTTTATCTCCTCTGTCCGATAGCTTCCATTAATTTGCTTTTGTCTCGAGAATGGATAACATTTTGTCCTTACAATCCCTACCCTAATCTCATCCTCCATATATAAAATACCTTAACAAGTAAATGTGTGATCAGATTGTTCGAAATGTATATTGTATGAATACATCGAATTTCTCAGATAACCTTCGTCTTCTTATCACATAATGAAAATCATTTTACCAGTAAAAATGTATGTAGATTATTCCACTTGGACGTTAATAGTAGTTTCATTGTAAAATGTGACTGTTTCATCCAGGTGTGTAATTGGATCCAGTGGTTTTGACAGTAACAAATTTTCAGTTTATTAGTGTATAAAAATACAATCCACTGATGGTTAAGTATGTAAACTAAGTTATGTAAATACTTTAGATAAGGTTAATTTTAGTTTTCCATCTAAAAATGTGTCATCATTAACAATTTTTAGTATGAATTCAGGAATTCTGATTGAAATGTGATCTCTGTAGACTTTTCAGTTGATGGTTGCATCAACTCTATTGTCTTATATATCTAGAGTCAGAAGAAACTATCACAATACATAAATATTCTGTAGAGTTGGGAGGATGCTACAGATTTTTATCAATATTCAGTATGCTACTCATGATAAGCTGACATCAGATGAAGAAGCATTGAAAACCTAAAAGTATTTGACAGCTGTTTCATTGTAGTATGACCGTACTTGATATTGAGTGGGCAGCCGGGACTCCATGAGGGACCCAACTCATGATCTTCAGGTATCCCGTTGTGTACTTTACCATCCAGCCGGTGGGTGATATAATGTGACCATCATTCAACTCCACCTGAGAGTATTTATCCTGAGACCCAAAAATGTTGACCTCACGGGTGACTGTTTTTTTATTCTTAAGAGAATGTCACTAATGACCACTGCATATTAATTCAGTTTAGAGTGCTCCCAAGTTTTCAGTGGCTCCTTAAATAGTGTTATTTCAGGATGAATGTTACACTGATACCAATCAACTCCCAACAAGCCTCCAAATTGAAGATTATGTTAGAGTAGTTGGTTCAGATGAGATGAATTGGTTTATCGTCTTTCTGGCTTTGTAAGAATTACGCTGTTAAAGCTAGCGTTTAGGTATCAGTTAGGAAGTGTAAATGCATCATGTAAATTTTTCGGAGGATGTACGTTACCCTCTTTATCACAGACAGATGAAATCGACGTAGAGCGTTATAAAGAAGTGTACCAGTACACATCTTCACACTTCATACTAACAAATGAATGATACCAATGAGTACTGAAGTACAGGGAAGACATTTCAACTTTAGAAAACATCAAAGATTAAATACATCGAGTTCATTTTGACCGATTTTTAGGTATTTTATCAAAGGTCTTGAATCACTGATTCCTATCATCTAGATGATCGTACGTACATGGATTATATCAACAGTCAGGGGAATGATGGGCTGTTACTACTTTCCCACTCCAAAGTTGGCTAACAATCTACACTTGGGTAGGTAGTTGTTGACACAGCATAAGTAGCACATGTCCAAGCCATTATTAACATATCTAGTAAGAAACATTTCAGAAAAAGTGAAGATTAGTTACTCATACATTTACATCATCTAGATGAATGACTTTAAAGGTCATCCTTTCAACCTCTGAAATAACCAATCAGGTTAATTCATTCCACCTGGATTTGAACATCGATCATACAGTGTAGAATCCTGATTGGTTATTTTAACGGTTACTAATATAACTTTCAAAGTCATTCTATGTGGATATTTAGCACATTTATTTAAACAAAAACAGTTATACTTTTAAACAACTCTCATGAAAGTATTCAGTTTTTCAATAGAGGTAGTATATTCCCTAATATGATTGTCTCTATTGTTTAAATGGTGTTATGGATTTGAGACACTTATTAATACCTGCAACAATAATAACACCTGTTATTTCTAACTTGCACTTTCAATGTATGCGTATACATATTATAATTAGCATTCATGAATGTCTGAAGGAAAACTCACTTGTCTGGTGTAACTTTGTCGAAATCCATTACTTTGAGAAGTACCTTATCTGAAGGCAGTAAAGGTTTTCCTTTCAAATCGACTGTTATAATCTAAAATAAATTATTTTTTTTTATAAAGGAAAAATTTTTTTAAATTTTTTCTATACCTCTTCCCATACTGGATTCAACTCATCGTCTTTCACTTTTGTCTTCTGTTTTATACCTAGAAAAGTAAATATGAAAATATACACATTTTAGTGAGCGATTAAATGTATTCCATCGCTTATTTTAACGAGTATCATCAGTACTCAAGGAAGAGAGATGAAGTGTACAGGGGTTAATAGTTTGAAAAACTTTGCATAATCAAATTGGAAATGATTGATAGAACATCTATACTAGGTATTATTATTTCTTGTGAATGTGTGCATAACAAATCTTAGTTGATTTCTTGGTGATCTTCATCACGGACTGATATGAGTTGGCTAACTATTGAAAACCTTGTAGCACTGGATAGTTACTTCTTCCTAGGATAAGGCAACCTCACCAGGAATCGAACTCAGGATCTTCAGGTCTTATGGTAAGCACTTCGATATTAAGCTGTCATTCAATACCACCTACTTATATTTGTCCTAGCACCCTGTTTGCTTGACTCTACATACGAATAACCTGTGGATAGTGATTACGTTTTGAAATTTGTGGGGATTTATTGATCTCTAAACTAAAGTTCTAGCTGCTAAAAACACTTATGATACACTGATGAACTCTAGGAAAATATGAAGCACTTAGCCGCTATCAGAAGACAGTTTGATATCATACATTCTTGGGTTACCATGGGATTAAAAGTAAAATTTTCAGAATCAAATCAATCAGCTGTTTACAAACAAAACAATTCTTGTTAAGTGGAGTGCAGTTAGGAGATTTCATTATGGATATTGAAATATTCGAATCAAATAATATGACCTGTTTGAAGTCGTTGTTCATCTCTGTGGTTAGTGTGCAATAATTTATGTTAGTCAGCAGCATATTTTGAAACACCTTCAGAACTTGTAGTAGGCATACATACACACACACACAGTATTGAATCAGTTGGATTAAGCCTTTGAATAGATTGTTGTCAACGCCACATCAGTGAAGTGTTTAGGGTCCTGTTAGGAAGTTTTAGCTAGTAGGGTCATGAATGCTGAAAATGATAATTAGTAGTCATCGACGAGTATATAGTGAAGGTCGAATGGAGCGAATGTTAGACATATTTGTCTATTAAGTAAGTGGCAAAATTTCTGATCCAAAACTTGATGACATTGTGTTGATTTCTAGGATAGATCAACAATAGACAGTGCTGATGAGTCTAATAAATACATTAGACTAATTTAATCTGGGGGGTTAATGGGGATTTAGTGACTTTTTTTCCAGTTTGGTATTCATCATGGACTGACATCAGTTGTTGGCTAGCGTTGGGAGGGGATTCTTGAAGTTCCAATGAAAAGTCGTGACCATTGAGGTGGCCATGAGGACAAAGTCTCAACAGTGACATTGTATGATTGCCACGCTATGTCGTGAACTGACAGAAATAGGAAATACAGATCAATGGATTCCGACCTAGTGGCCCATTGGTAACGTGTTGGCCACGGAACCTGAAAGTCCCAGGTTCGACTCCTGACGCAATGGGGTCATCGGTGAGCACTGCTGAGGAGTCCCACACTAAGTTTCCAATGTTCTCCCAACTGATGTCAGCCCATGATGTATACCAACATGAAAAACTAGTGGACTAATGAAGTTTCTCATCCCACCCACTTGCAAGAAACAAATCACTCCCATAAAATGTCTTAAAGCTGTCCAGATGTAATGGTTTTTAGCAGGTATACTACAATTTCTAGTTGTGGCAGCAATATCAGTATCTCAATGAACTACCAAGCAAAATTTATGTCGGTTGACATCAACTGTGGTAGTCGACAGAGTGATGTTTTAAATCCATTAGCCATTTACTCTAGTTAACTTTGTCTGTCTAAATAAAAAGGTCATCATAAGAGATGTCACAGCTGATAACGTGTCCGAACAGTTACTTCAGCTTGTCTGAAGAAGTGTTTTCTCTTGATGAGAACTCTCTGTAGTCCTTATAACTAGAAAGCAACATGCTTGAAAACTGCCCCGTAGTTTACTTGGCGTTAGCTAACAAGGGAAACAGGGCAATGGGTTTCGGCTTATTTGAGACTCACTAGCTGAACGTACCTTCACCCCATTGAGTGATGTTGTTCCCACTGAGCCTGGAACCAAGGACACATCGTTTCAGACGCCAAAGTGTTATCCCTTTAGCCGCTGAGACACGTGAAGTGACTGTATATATCAATAAATTCTGCGAGGACTGTTTCAAACACTGTTGATACAACCACCATAAACTAAACATTTGAATATGAAGTTCAGACGGCCAGAAATAATCAGCAACAAGGAACTCTGGCGACGAACCAACCAACAATTTATCGCTCAACAAATATGCAGAAGGAAGTGGAGATTGATTGGGCATACACTGAGAAGACTGACTGGGGACATCACGTGCCAGACCAGGCACTCGAGTGGAATCCAGATGAGAGGCGACGAGTTTGGCCTCCGAGGATGACAAGGAGGAGATCGTGAGAGGAAGAAATGGAGCTTGTGGGCTGTCGTGCAGCCAGGTTCAAGATTTCAGAGAAGACAGTGGAATAAGGACGTGCTACTGAAGCCCGATGTTTCATTAGGAACCCAAGGGACAAATAATAATAATAATAATATAATAAATAAACAGCAGTTTTACGGTTTTCACTTCATATTCTTCAACTTTGTGACAAGAATAAATCATGAAAAAAATAATCCTTTAATTCAACGAATTTGGATCCTATACTTGAATGCATATCCAAATATTTGTCTATATGAGGCTTGGTAGAAGAAAAAGCTCTGAATTCTTCAACAACCTTTTTTAAATCGGTTATGCTTATGATAATAAGTAAATGTTATTATTTTGTATGACGTTTTTTTCGATCCTTACTCACGTAACTCTAATGTGGTTCCATATTCAAAGCCAAGTTCTAACGTGCAAAAACAAAATAGAAAACAATAATAAAGTGGTTCTTAGTTCTGCTTTTCCAAATCTGATATTTTTTCATTTCATCTTTGCTTATGTCAAAACAAACTGATGGTAATAATACCAATACTACTACTACTCACACTACTCTACTACTACTACCAATGATAATAATAATAATAATAGTTGTCATTACTGAAGCAAACATAATTTAACCAATGTTATATAAGTGGAAAGAGATTGACTTTCTGGTGCTAAAAAGAGAATACTCTAACCAAGGCAAGTTGTAACAGGAAGTGCAGTGATCAGTGATTCAATGTAAAATATACAAAAAAAATTTATGCACATAAAGTTTTAAAGAAAAAAACAGACAAGTTTCACAGTAGACATGGATTTGAAATAAACTTGAAAAGTAAAATAATTTAACGCAAAAGTGAAACTTCAGTAGAGTTCTGATAAAATGATTCTCATGTTAGCTGGTTTGAAGCAATCAGCAGGAATCTCTGTTTTGTCAAGGTTTCTTACTTCATGTTACTCATCAGCAAGACATCAAAGGAACTGATGTCCCGTTTTAGACTGGAAGCTCAATGTCTCAGTCAGTTTCATTGCCTCTGACCTCTTAGGGCCATGGTTGACCTCCAGTGATTGGTTACTGGAGAGTAGCCAATATATCACTATTGCCGTTCACCTTTTTGGATTTCAGTTTGTTAGACGGAACCGATGGGTAGCTGACAAGTGCCAACAACCATTAAACCTATGTCGAGAAGAGCTACCCACCGATAACCAGATAACATACATCAAAACTCATTGAGATAGTAACCCATCTAATTTGGTGATCAAATTGTAAGAAAATGATCCGTAGAAATCGGTGAGTACTCAGAACTAGGTAGCATAAAACTGGTTGTGTGAAACAATTAGCCTCTTTGGTGAATTTTCATAATACAGTAAGAAGATCGGAGGTTATCTGAGGAATGTTATGTATTTGCTCAATACATTTCGAACAGTTTGATCACAAATTCACCTGTCAAGGCATTTTTAGATGAAAAAGGAAAACAGAGTTGGACATGGTAGATAAATTGATATAATACAATATTTGAAACCCGTAAGGTGTGAACAACCAAGCTTATGGAGTTTACCAAAGACACATTAGATAAAATATCCAATTACTAAAGGAGTAAACCTTTGGCACTATGATAGATTATAGTTCACTTTTAGTCTTTTTGTTAGAAATGTCACACACGTGGATGGCCCTTCAAACATTTAGTCCTACTCCAAAGATGTGGTTCCTATTTTTGGATGATACATTTAAAGTACTAAAATAGGAACACATCAATAGGTTGTTGAAATACATAACTTCCCTAGTGAATGCAATCCACTTTACCTGTGGCCTAAAAAGTGATGGGTGAGTCATTATTGTTGAATACCAGGATTAAACGAAGTTTAGAGACTAGTATCTATAGGAAACTTTTCCATTGGAATCGCTACTTAGACTTCAAATCCTCTCACCTCATCTCAGTACAAGTAGGCTTGGTTAAATGCCAAAGTGATAGGCGGAAAAGTTTACTAGTAGACTAGAAAATTTACGTCAAAGAAATTAGACACATCAAGAATATTTCGATAACTCTATTAGAAGACGAAGATTATCTCAACAATGTGTGACGTATTTGTTGAATACATTTCAAACAATCTAATTCTCTACACATTCACTTGTCGAGTCAATTTATATATGAAAATGAAACAGAAGTTGAAAGGTCAACTATAGTGAATATGAAAAGGTTGTGACACTAGTCTTGGTAATATAACCTGAAGTTTGCCGAAGCGATAGCCATTCGTAAACTTAACCCCCCGCTGTGCATACAAAAACAATTTGTTGTTTCATTTAATTTACCTCGATAATTTTTATCTGATTGCATTACCAAAACTAGTGTCACAACTTTTTCATATTCACTATATTTCACCTTTCAATTTCATATATAAAGTGACTTGACAAATAAATGTGTAGGGAATCAGATTGTTCGAAATATATTCCGCAAATACATCACATATTGTTCAGATAATCTTCGTCTTCTAATAACTTCATCGAAATTTATTAAAGGGACTAGTCGTTTCACATTAAGAATACCTTGTGTCTCAATAATTATCCAGCCAAATTTATAAATAACTCCATAAAA